AAATCCACCCACCGCACCTGTCGTCGTGAGAGCGTCGGCTGCGACTTCAGGTATTTGAGACTGCAGTGGTCAGTGTATACTGTGGTCTTGGCTCCCTCTAGGTAACACCTCCACGCCTTGAAGGCTACGACTATAGCTAAGGCTTCCTTGTCGTGAATGGGGTAGTTCAGTTCTGCTCCGTGTAACTTCTTACTGAGGTAGGCGATAGGCTGTAAACCGTTCCCGTGATCCTGCATCAGTACTGCTCCGACTGCCTGGTCACTAGCGTCCGCTTCAACTACGTAGTCCTTGTCGGGGTCCGGTAGGATGAGTACTGGCGCTGTGGTCAGTGCTGTCTGTAGCTGTTCTATGGCTTGCTGATGAGGAGTATCCCATTTGAAGGGCGTATCCTTTTTCAGTAGGTCTGTCAGTGGCGCTGCTATCTTAGCGTACTGCGGCACAAACCTGTTGTAGTAGTTGGCGAAGCCGAGGAACTGCTGTAACTCCTTCACGTTCTCCGGAACTTTCCACTTTTTAACGGCTTCGATTTTCCGCGGGTCCACGTGTACGCCCTCGGCACTCACCATGTGCCCAAGAAACTGCACCTTCTTCAGGGCGAAGTCGCTCTTCGACAGCTTCACGTAGAACTTATTTTTCCGCAGGATCTCGAACACCTTCCGCAGATGCTCCACGTGCTCCTTCATGTTCTTGGAGTAGATGAGGATATCGTCCAGGTACACTACTACGCATTCGTCCAGCAGGGGCCATAGGATGTGGTTCATCTCCGCCTGGAACGTCGCTGGTGCGTTGCAGAGTCCGAACGGCATCACTAAGTACTCGTAGGAGCCGTATCTCGTACGGAACGCCGTCTTGTGGATCGAGTTGTCCGCCATCTTGATCTGCCAGTAACCCGACCGTAGGTCCAGCTTCGAGAAAACTGTTGTGTCAAAATATTATGCTCTAGCCTGTAGTGGGGTGCTCTATAGCGAGTACAACCCTTCTAGGGTTTGCTATTTGTATCCCCATTCTTACTAGTGCAACCCCTCCTTTGTTCATTTCTTGCTTGCCTAGCTAGGTCAACCCTAGCTATGGCTTCTCACTGTTCTTACTATCTTGACATGGTATCAGAGCGGTTACGCTCCTGTCCTGTGGGCCCACCACTTCACTGCTTCCGCTGCTACTGCTACTCCCTGTCCGCCGCGCGCCTCGTGGTACGCGGCGTTGAAATTAGGGTTTTCAGCCCGCCGTGCGCCCCGAGGCGCGCGGCGGGTTTCTGCCCCGTCACACCGCGCGTTGCTCCCGGGAGGCGCTGCGACGGGCGACGGGGACCCGCGCGTCGCCCCCCGTCGCCCGTCGTGGCCTGCGCGCGGCCCGTACAGCCGGCGCGCGGCCCGTACGGGCTGCGCCAGGCCCGCGCGCGGCTCGGGCCGCCTGCGCGCGGTTCGGGAGGCTGTGCCAGACCCGTGGGCGGCCCGTTCTTCGCTGCCCCTGTCCTCCCCGCTGTCCCCCGTGCTTCTGAAGGCGCCCCACCCCTCCTTCTGCCCGTACTCCTGGATTAGGGTTTGGGGTGGGGGGTATGGGGGTGCAGCTTCTGTGTGCCGTTCCCTGCTCCTCCTCCTCCTCCGTCTCCCTGTGCTGCAGCTGCCGCTGAGGGGGGTGGACCTGTTGGAGCCGTCGGAGTGGTACTAAGGGGGGGTGAAGGGGGAGTGGAGCTAGCGGTGTAGCAGCGGGTGTGTGTCAGGGGGAGTGGGATAGTTTGGGGAGGTTGAAGGGGGTGGCCACCGTGAAGCCAGCAGCTCCAGTGGCGGCTGCTCCAGAGGCGGCTGCTGCAGAGGCGGGCGACTCCAGGGGAGGCTGCTGCAGTGGCGGGCGGCCTTACTATCTTGACATGTTGCACCACGCAGTTGGTCCAGTAAGTCGTCGATGCGCGGTATGGGGTATTTATTTTTAACTGTCTGTTTGTTCAGTGCGCGGTAGTCGATGCACATCCGTAGACTGCCGTCTGGCTTTGGGGTGAAGAGAACTGGTGCACCGTAGGGAGATGTGGATGGGCGGATCAGTTGTCTGTCCAGTAAATATTCGATCTGTATTTTCATGTATGTCAGCTCGGTCGGATGCAGTCGGTATGGTGCACGTGAGACGGGTTTCGCACCTGGTTCCTCCACGATCTCGTGCTCGTGGGTGCGTGCTGGAGGTACGCCTGCAGGTAGGTCGTCGGGCATTATATCCTTGTACTGCTCCAAGACCTCCTTCACTGCTGCAGGTAGCTCGGAACTCGGCTTCTCCTCCTCTGCTGCTGCCATGACCAGTGCTAGGTAACCCGTGTTACTCTCGTTCACCGTCCGTTCGAACCGTGCAAGTGTCATTTCAGGAATGTCTTCTGTATCCGTCCAGCTTCGCAGTGCTATCCGCTTCCCGTTGTTGTAGATGCACACTTTACTGTTGACCCAATCGATCTCGGGGTTGAACCGCTTCAGGAAATCTCGCCCCAAGATGAAATCCTGTCCCTTGATATTCGTGATCGGCAACGTAGGCTTCCACCTTAGCGTCCCTATGTGCTGATGCTTCGCCGTGGATGGGAAGCTTCGTACCGTCCACCATTGTTGCAGAGAATTGTGTCTCCTCCGCCTTCTCTCCGATTTTCTCCAATGTCTCGCGGTCGCACACCGAGTGAGATGCACCGCTGTCCACCAGTGCCTGGAGGCGTCGCCCGTTGCAGATCACCTCGAGGAGTAGTGGTTGTTGCCGCTCCGAGTAGCCGTAGATGGTCTCGCTTATAGGATCATAGGGTAAGTCGAATATCTCATCCCTAGGTCCTGCGCTCGAAGCTGCTGTCTCAATATCAGTTTTCAACTGAGCAGGGTTAGAAGGATTTATCCGAGGCTGATTCAGCTTCGTCTTGGCCTGGAACCTTCCCCTAAGCCGTTGCAGCTGTGTAGGCTTCTCCTGTGGGCAATGGGGAGCCTTAACACTGTGCTGCGGGGAGAGAGTATTAACTCCTTGGAACGCACGACCCTTTTCAACGCTCCGGAGTGGTTTGCCCAACTTCTCAGGTACCTGAATAATTTCTAAAGGCTTTTTCTTAGCCGCTAAATCTCCCCTGAAGGCTTGAAAATCACGAGAAGTAATATTCTTAGTTAAAGTATCTTTATAGGATAACTTTAACGAATTCTTACTTTCGTGGGTGTTCGGCTGGAGTTTCCCGGTCGGTGCAGAGTCTTGTTTCGCGGAGCCTCCATTTGTCTCGGCGATTTCCCCTGGTGCCGGCCGGTCGTGGCGTTTTAAATTCGCGCCATCATGTCCTCCTTTTTTCGCCCGCTCCGAAGTCGCCACGTTTTTTTACTTCGGGGGTGCCGCACTGTTGTTGCCCTGCAGCTCTGCTCGTGCCTTCTTCATTTTCCAACACGCCAAGAATCGATGTCCTGGTGCGCCGCAAAAGTCGCACTTCTCATTTTTTGTCGGCCGCTGCTTCGCGTCGATCTTGTCGATATCCATCGGGTCGGCGGTCGTGGGTGGTGCCGATCGCTTCGTGTCGAATGATCTGTTCGGCACGTGGCGTCGTGTCTCGGGTTGACCTCGCGTCAGCGCATCAAATCTCTCTGCTGCACACACCATGTCGCGGTAGTTGCTGTAGTTCGCGGCAATCACCTTATGGTGGACTTCCATTTTTAGCCCCTCAGTATACGCTTGGATTTTTTCCCCTTCGGTCAGGTCGGTAATTCGGTTGAAGAGGCTCTCCATCTGCTGCGTGTACTGTGTTACACTGCCGTACTGTTTGTGCCGATGAATCTGCTGCCGCGCCATGTAGCTGGAATTGATCGGTTCGAAGCGTTGAATTAAAGCTGCCCGAAACTGCGTCCGTGACCCCTCGCCTCTGTCAAACATTATATGTTTATATGGTTGTAGGCTGTAGTGGGTTACGCCTTAGGGGGTACACTGGATTAGGGTTTCCTATTTGTATCCAACCTTCTGTTAGTACAGTCATTCCAGTCTGTTATTTTGACATGGTTTCAGAGCAGGTCCTTCTCTAGGACCGTTCCTAAGGGCCCACCGTTCGCTACCTAACTACCTACCTACTACCGGAGCGCGTTCTTAGCGCCTCCCCCGTAGCGCCCTCGAGCGCTTCATTATTTTTATTCGGCCCCGCTGGCCCCGTCGATCGAGCCCCGTCTAGAGGCCCCGCGGCCCCGTCGCATTTGACCTAGAGGCCCCTCACGGCCCCGTCGCGCCGCCCCTTAGCGCCTCGAACGACCCCGCCGCTCGCCCCTTAGCGGCCCCGTCGGCCTTGCGATCGCCCCTAACGGCCCGCGCACCGCCCGCTACCGGCCCGCGATTTGCACCGCTGCTGCTGCCGCTGCTGCCCGCGAGTCGCCCGCTGCCGCTCCCGCGTTTCTGCCGTGCCCGCAGCCGCTGCCGCCGCTACTACCGCCCGTGCACTGCTGCTGCTGCTGCTGCCGTGCTCGCCTGCCGCCCGCCGCAGCCACTGCCGTGCGCCGCTACTGCCCGTCGCCTGCTCGCGCACGCCCCGCAGCCGCCCGTCGCCTGCTCGCGCACGCCCTGCAGGCCCGCAGCCCGCCGTCGCAGCGGCCGCCCGCCCCGCAGCCGCCCGTCGTCTGCTCGCGCACGCCCCGCTGCCCGCAGCTGCTTGCACGCCGCTGCTTCCGCTGCTGCTTGCGCACCGCTGCCCCTACGCTGCCGCTGCCCGTGCGCCGCCATTGCCCGTGCGCCACCGTTCCCCGTGCGCCACTGCCGCCCGTGCGCTTCTGCAGCCGCCGCCCGCGAGGCACTCGCTCTCACTGCTGCTTATTTACTACCTACCGCGCACACTGCTACCACTGCAGCTACCACCAGTGCGCCGTTGCAGCTCCTGCTGCCACGCTACCTACTATTGCCGCTCGTGTGCCACTACGGACAGTCGACCCCGCCTGCGCCTTACCTAGCGGCCCCGCCGGCCCCGTTGACCCTCCGCACACCTTTCCAGCGGCCTGATTCCTACTACTACTGCTACTGCTACTGTCGCTATGGCTAGTCCTCCCGTTCTAGCTTTCGATGCCGAGGGCCGTCCGGTGAAGTTCGAAACCTGGCTAGATGACCTACACCTGTTCCTACAGCTCACTGCCAAGGAAGATATCTCACTGTACGACCACGCCCTAGGCCATGCCACTGCCCCTGACTCGACTGCTGACAGCACTCTGCGTTCCCAGTGGCAGACCCGTGATGCGCATGCTCGCTTTGCTATTCGCAACTCCCTGCCGCTAGACGAGCGCGAGCACTTCGGGCAGTGCAAGACTGCTAAGGACCTCTACACCGCTGTAGTTGCCCGCTACTCCTCACCCGCTTCTGCCACGCTAGGCCGCCTCACTCTCCCCTACCTGTTCCCCGACCTAGCCTCCTTTCACACTGTCGCAGACCTCATCACCCACCTTAAGACTAGTGAGGCCCGCTTTCGCGCTGCTATGCCTGCCGAGTTTCTCACTAGCAACCCCCCCCCACTCTGGATCACTCTCTACCACATCGTCACCCGCCTCCCTGACTCTCTGCGCGCAGTCAGGGACCACTTCCTCTCTCGCTCCCCCACTGAGCTCACTGTTGCCCTCCTCGAGAAGGAACTGCTTGCAGCTGAGGCGAGCATCGTCGCTGTAGGCACCTCTCGTGGCGACCCCCGCACCCCGTTCTTTGAGGGGTGTTCCCCTTCCCCCCTCCTCCCCTCTGTCACCTCTGCTGCTGCTGTCGACCTTCTTGGTGCTGAGAAGGTCGGGACCGCGTCTGCTTCGAGCGGGCGCCGCAGGAACAAGGGGGGCAGGGGTGGGGGTGGTGGCGGAGGAGGTGGGGGTGGAGGCGGTGGGAGTGGAGGCGCGGCTGGGGAGACTAGTGGCGGCAGTGGGGGAGGAGACAGCAGCGGTGGGAGTGGTGGTGGAGGCGGCAGCGGAGGCGGAGGTGGTCGTGGCGGCGGCAGGGGTGGAGGTGGCCGGGGCGGCGGCGGTGGGGGTGGTGGTCGTGGAGGCACTGGCGGAGGGCAGAGTCAGCAGCCCGCCCCGACGCTTCAGGCCGCCCGTGAGTGGTATGCGCAGCGTAGCGTTATCTGCACGTACGTCATTCGCACAGGTGACCGCAGCGGCCAGCAGTGTGGGAGGCCGCACCCCACACAGCGCTGCTTCGCGCGCCTTAACGACGCGTGGCGCACTCAGTTTCCTGCTGCCACTGAGCTGCCGCGCTGGGCTGATCTGGAAAAGAGGGGTGTTGATATTTGGGCTTTAGACTTTGATGCTATTCTCACTGCCATGTATGCCATGTCTATTAGTGGAGAGGGTGCTCAGTACTTGCGTGTTCCGCCCGACCCGGGCATTCAGGCCAGTCCGGCTGCCGCTCTAGGTGCTAGTGCGTCTGCTCCCACAGGTCCTGGTGAGGCTGCTGCCCTAGGTGCTCGTGCGTCCGTGCCCCCTGGTACTGAGTCGACTGCAGCACTGCACACCTTCACACTGGACTCAGGTGCTTCTCGCTCCTTCTTTCGTGACCGCACTGTCCTTGAGCCACTAGCTCGGCCAGTTGCTGTCTCCCTTGCTGACCCCTCTGGGGGTCCGGTCATTGCGACCTCCTCCACTGTCCTTCCTTGTCCGGCGGTCCCGTCCGGCACGCTGTCAGGTCTCTACCTCCCCTCGTTCTCTACGAACTTGGTGGCAGGTAGTGCGCTCCAGGACGGGGGTGTTCACCAGTTCACCCCTGCCTACGAGCGCGTGACACACTGCACGTGTGCTCGGACGGGTCGCCACCTGGCTACCTTCACTCGGGAGCCGGGGTCGGACCTTTACACACTGACCACTGAGTCCCCTCAGGTAGCTGCGTCCGCGTCTGCGTCTGCGTCAGGTCAGCTGTCCGCCCCCTGCTCGTGTCGCTCTCTGGCGCATGAGACTGTCCTTTGGCACCACCGCCTTGGTCACCCGTCTGTGCAGCGCCTTCGGGCCATGCACAAACGGGACCTTGTTGCTGGTCTTCCCAGGGTGCTCCCTCCCCTTCCCGACTCGCCTGCTCCTCCCTGTATTCCCTGTGTCGAGGGACGGCAGCGCGCCGCTCCTCACTCCTCCTCCTTTCCCCCGACGACTGCTCCCTTGCAGACGCTCCACATGGACGTGTGGGGCCCAGCCCGCGTCCGTGGTCAGGGTCAGGAGAGGTACTTCCTGATTGTTGTTGACGACTTCTCGCGCTACACCACGGTCTTCCCCTTGCGCGCCAAGGGTGACGTCCCTGATGTCTTGATCCCTTGGATCCGCAGATCTCGTCTCCAGCTCCGTGAGCGTTTCCGCTCCGACTTCCCTGTCCTGCGTCTGCACTCTGACAGAGGTGGGGAGTTTTCCTCTGGCCTATTGGAGGCCTTCTGTCAGCAGGAGGGCATTGAGCAGTCGTACACGCTTCCGGCCTCTCCACAGCAGAATGGGGTTGCTGAGCGCCGCATTGGTCTGGTCATGGAGGTCGCTCGTACCTCCTTGAGCCATGCGGCTGCCCCCCATTTTCTGTGGCCGTTTGCAGTCCGATACGCTGCGCATCAGCTCAACCTCTGGCCCCGTGTCTCCTTGCCCGAGACTTCTCCGACACTGCGTTGGACGGGAGAGGCTGGCGATGCGTCGTGTTTTCGGGTCTGGGGATCCCGAGCTTTTGTCCGCGACACGTCCGCGGACAAGCTCTCCCGTCGCGCTGTCCCCTGCGTCTTCCTTGGCTTTGTCCCGGACGCCCCTGGCTGGCAGTTCTACCACCCCACCTCGCGTCGTGTCCTGGCCTCTCAGGACGTCACTTTTGACGAGTCCGTCCCCTACTACCGCCTCTTCCCCTACCGCACTGCCCCGCTCCCCCCCCCGCCTCTCTTCCTCGCTCCAGGTGCTGAGGTACCAGACCCCCTCCCCCCTCAGGGTGCCGCTCCCTCAGGTGTGTCCCAGGTAGACCCGGGTGAGCCTGTCGAGGTAGCTGTTGACTCTCGTCCTGCTAGGGGTGCTGAGCCTGGGGGTGCTGCGTCTGGGGGTGCTGAGCCTGGGGGTGCTGCGTCTGGGGGTGCTGAGCCTGGGAGTGCTGAGTCTGGGGGTGCGGAGCCTGGGGGTGCTGAGCCAGGAGGTGCGGAGCCTGGAGGTGCGGAGCCTGGAGGTGCTGAGCCTGGGGGTGCTGAGTCTGGGGTACAAAGCCTGAGCGTGCTACACCTGGAGGAGCCCTCTCCTCCCAGCAGCTGCAGGAGAGGTACCTCGAGTACTGCCGCCTCCGGAGAGGTGCTGCTGGAGCTCGTCCCGGTACTTCCCCTCCTACCCAGGAGCTCCCCCCCATTCAGCAGATCCGCGAGTGGTACACACGGCGCTGCAGTCTTCGGAGTGGTGCTCCTGGTGCTGCGGACCCTGGGGGTGGAGCTGCTGCTGGTGCTGAGGACTCGGACGTTGGAGCTGCTGCTGGAGCTGAGGACCCGGGCGGTGGCGCTGCTGCTGGTGCTGAGGACCCGGACGGTGGAGCTGCTGCTGGTGCTGAGGACTCGGACGGTGGAGCTGCTGCTGGAGCTGAGGACCCGAGCGGTGGCACTGCTGCTGCTGCTGAGGACCCGGGCGTTGGAGCTCCTACTGGTACTGAGGACCCGGCCGCTGGAGTCTCCTCTGCTTCTGGAGACGCTGCGCGGCCGTGACCGTACTTCGTACCGCTCCTTCAGCAGGTTCTTGGGCAGACTCCTCCTCCTTGTCCTCCTCCCTCCGTAGAGTGTCCTCCGCCTGTCCAGCCGCAGTCACAGTTACCACCTACCTCGCCTCTCCCTGCTCCCTCTCCTTACACTGGTCCCACAGGAGGTCTTACAGAGCGTCGTGAGCCTGAGTCTCGTCCTGCGTCGCCTGTTCGTCGTGCTCGCACTGGTAGTCGTGTCCGTCGTGAGCGTCCTCCTCCTGTCCCAGGCACTCACTACATGACTCTGCGTCCCTCTACTGCTCCTCAGCGTGTCCCTCTACCGTCTCCTCCTGCTTCCTCTTTGCCTGACGTTCCGGACCCTGAGTCTGACCGGTATCGTGCTGAGCACCCCACTGTCACGCGTTTCCTTGCTACTGTTGTCACTGACCCTACCTTTGAGTCCTCTGCTGCGTCTGCTCTGGTCGCTGAGTTGGTTGACTTTGCTGCTGCCTGTCGTCTAGACTACGCTGCTAGCCTTGTTGCTGAGTTTGAGTCTGAGTCTGTCTATCCTCCGTCCGTCGGGGGTGAGTGTGCTCTTGGCACGGACGTCCTTGAGGACAGACAGGAGGAGTTCCAGTGTCTTGCTGCTGCTTTGCCCCGTCTCGTGTCCTTGCTAGTTGCCCCTGAGGGAGACCCGGATGCACCAGACATCCCGACCCCGCGCACTTACGCTGAGGCGATGGCGGGTCCCTACTCCTCTCAGTGGCAGACAGCCATGGACGCCGAGATGGCTTCCTGGAAGTCCACACGCACCTACGTCGACGAGGTTCCCCCTCCTGGGGCGAACATCGTCAGTGGCATGTGGATTTTCAGGGTGAAGCGGCCGCCGGGTTCTCCGCCTGTCTTCAAGGCGCGTTACGTGGCTCGAGGCTTCAGTCAGCGAGAGGGAGTTGACTTCTTCCAGACCTTCTCCCCCACCCCGAAGATGACCACTCTTCGGGTGCTGCTGCACATAGCCGCTCAGCGCGACTACGAGCTTCACTCACTTGACTTCAGCACTGCTTTCTTGCAGGGCAGCCTGCACGAGGAGATCTGGCTGCGCCGCCCACCTGGCTTCACTGGGTCGTTTCCTCCTGGTACCCAGTGGAGGCTTCAGCGGCCGGTCTACGGTCTCCGCCAGGCTCCGCGTGAGTGGCACGACACACTGAGGACTACACTTGCGGCTCTTGGGTTCGCGCCTTCTACAGCTGACCCGTCGCTGTTCCTGCGCACCGACACTTCGCTGCCGCCGTTCTACATCCTCGTGTACGTCGACGACTTGGTCTTTGCCACTGCTGACACTGCAGGACTCACCTACGTGAAGTCGGAGCTGCAGAGGAGACACACGTGCACAGACCTGGGTGAGCTGACAAGCTATCTTGGCTTGCGGATCACCCGGGACAGAGCACGGCGCACCATCACCCTGACTCAGTCACACATGGTGCAGCAGGTTCTCCAGCGCTTCCGCTTCACGTACTCCTCGCCTCAGTCCACTCCTCTGCCTACCGGTCACTCGCTCTCAGCTCTGCCTTCGGATGAGTCCGTAGAGCCGAGTGGCCCGTATCCAGAGCTTGTGGGCTGCCTCATGTACCTGATGACCTGCACTCGACCTGACCTTGCATACCCTCTTAGCATCCTTGCACGCTATGTCGCTCCTGGCCGTCACAGGAAGGAGCACATGGATGCCGCTAAGAGGGTGTTGCGCTACTTGTGCAGTACGTCGGGCATGGGGCTTGTGCTTGGAGGGCGAGACCGAGTTGTTCTCACAGGGCACTCAGACGCTTCTTGGGCAGACGACCAGGCCACTCAGCGGTCGTCTCAGGGTTACACCTTCAGCCTTGGCTCTGGCTCAGTTTCTTGGCGCTCTACGCGCTCTTCTTCTGTTCTCGGCTCCAGTTGTGAGGCTGAGATCTACGCCACAGCCATGGCTGCCCAGGAGCTACACTGGCTGACCTACCTGCTGACCGACCTCGGAGAGCGGCCTCGTTCTCCTCCAGTGCTGTACGTCGACAACAAGGCTGCCATTGCCTTGTGTGAGGAGCACAGACTGGAGCACAGAACGAAGCACATCGCCCTGCGGTACTTCCTTGCTCGAGAGTTGCAGCAGCGTGGTCAGCTTTGTATTCGCTACGTGGCCACTGAGGCCAACACTGCTGATGTGTTCACCAAGGCGCTTCAGCCTCGTGACCATCAGCGCTTCTGCACTCTACTAGGCCTTGTGCCTACTGGACCTCACTTGCTTACCTCTTGACTTTGCTTGTACTGTGATCACTATATATATATACCTGCATGTTTACTCTTGCTAGGTTGTGATCACTGTATCTCTTGCTCTGTTATAAACCTGCATGTGAACTGGTCTTGTGACCACTAGCTTGTGCTCGGAATTTGTGTGGAATCCTCGAGATCCACCCTGAGCTTGCTTTGCCTTGCTTTGCCCTGACTGGTCGTGTGACCCCCAGGTCTCCCCACTTCGCCTATGGGGGTGTGTCAAACATTATATGTTTATATGGTTGTAGGCTGTAGTGGGTTACGCCTTAGGGGGTACACTGGATTAGGGTTTCCTATTTGTATCCAGCCTTCTGTTAGTACAGTCATTCCAGTCTGTTATTTTGACAGCCTCGGATCTCCTTACTGTTGTAAATCCATTCGAGCGCCGGGCCTCGCAACAGTGTTGCTGCGAGCCGAATCCGCATTGCATCGTGTGTCGGGGTCGTACAGCCAACGGCCTCGAAGTAAATTTCGAGGGTCGCAATGAATCGACGGACGTCGGTGTCTCTTGCATTCGGATTGAACGTCTCCGGTAGCCTTGGACGTGCCGCCTCAAGATTCACTGTGGCTGCTGCTTGGTGAAGTGTCGGTGTCGCCGCTGCTGCTGCTGCCGTCGCTGCTGCATTCGCTGCTACGTTCGCTGCTGCCGTGGCGGCTGCCGACTGGTTCGCGAGAAGCTCCTCTATTCGCTGGAGTGCCGCTCGCATCTGGTCCACGTCGGTGCGTAACTCCGTAATTTTTCGTACGGAATTTTCACCATTTTCCTCCATTTGGCGATTTACAGGAAGATTTGCGACGGAAAGAATTGCATTCTAGGCACTGGTCGACTTACTGCGATTAATCTCGACTGTAAAAATGACGAGCGCTAGATCCGTACGCCACGTAATTCTCTCTTAATTGAAATTCGCGTCTGATCCCGGCCGTTGAGAAGAGAATCGATCCGACGCTCCAAATTCCAACTTTTTTGGGCGAAATTCTCAGGGCCGTTGAGATTCGAATCGATCGAACGGTCGAAATTTTAACTTTTTTCGCCAATGAACCTGAGGAGGATTCGAACACCGGTTCGAGGGGGACGTTAAAGAATAGCGCGGAACTGGTTTACGTACCCGAAATCGGCGCCTCTTGTCGTCGCCCCCGCGGTTTTAAAAGCTAGGTTTTAAGTGGTCGAAAAAACTTCGCGAGTAAACAGGCTCTGATTACCCAGTGTGAGGATCTAGGATCGAGCTCAGAAAAGAGAGTTTGAATTGAATGATCACCTGGGTACAACACGAGGCTATATATAGGCTCGACACAAGGGGCAGTAACCAGGTGTTACGCGAAGGTTCTGAGGGTCGCGAAGCGTCCCGAACAGGCCCTTCCCGAATTCGGTAGAAGGCAATTCGGTGGCAACCGAATAGCCCAGAATTCGGTGTACGCAACCTAGCTCGGTGCTATAACTATAATAAAATATAGGAAAGCACCTAGCCTAGGAATTCAAGCAATTCATGCATGCATAAAATAAACCTAAGCTAGAAGTAGCATAATAAAGTAAAGGCAAGCATGTCAAACATTATATATGTTGCGTTTGTTAGGCTACAGTGGGTTAGCCTATATGGGGTACACAATTCTAGGGTTTGCTATTTGTACTGATTTCTCTGTTAGTTCAATCATTCCAGTCCGTTCATTCTGACATGGTATCAGAGCAGGTCCTTCGCTAGGACCGTTCTTAGGGCCCACCGCTACCTACCTACCTACCTACCTACCTACCTACCTACCTACCTACCTGCGCCTTAGAGCGCCTCGGTTCTTACGGCCCCTTAAGGCCTCGCGCCCTCGTGCGCCTTTCCCCACCGCGCGCGCGTGGTCCTTTTTTTTTTTTTTTTTTTATGCGCGCGGCTTTTAGTCGCCCGCACGCGGCCCGTCAGCCCTTCGCGCGGCCCCTGCTGCTCGCCGCGCCGCCCCGCCGTGGCCCCGCAGGCCCGCAGCTCGCTGCCGCCAGCTGCCGCCGCCCGTCACCCGCAGCCGCCCGTACGCCACTGCCGCTGCCGCTGTCGTACGCTGCTGCCGCTGCTGCTTGCGCACCGCCCACTGTCGCTGCCGCTGCTTGTGCCGCCGCCACTCGCCCCGTGCGCCGCTGCCGCTGCTGCACGTGCTTTACTGCCGCTTCCGCGCCGGCTGCAACTCCCGCCCGTGCGCTCGCTACCGCTACTCCCGCCGCCCGCTGCAGCTGCCGCCCGTGCGCTACCGCCGCTGCCGCCCGTGTGCTGCTACTGCGGCCGCCATTACCGCGCTCACTGCCGCTACTGCCCGTGCGCCAAAGCCGCTGCCGCCCGTGCGCCATTGCTGCTGCCGCCCGTGCGCCCTGCCTGCTGCCGCCCGTACGCTACCACTCGTTTGCCGCTGCTGCCGGCCCCGTTGACACTGCCCACAGTCTCCCAGCGGCCTCGTTCCTACTGTTTACCTTATACCTACTACTACCGCTCGTGTGCCACTACGGACAGTCGACCCGCCCGCGCCTTGCCTAGCGGCCCCGCCGGCCCCGTTGACCCTCCGCACACCTTTCCAGCGGCCTGATTCCTACTGCTACTGTCACTATGGCTAGTCCGCCAGTTCTAGCTTTCGATGCCGAGGGCCGTCCAGTGAAGTTCGAAACCTGGCTCGATGACCTGCACCTGTTCCTACAGCTCACAGCCAAGGAAGATATCTCACTGTACGACCACGCCCTAGGCCATGCCACAGCCCTGACTCGACTGCTGACAGCACTCTGCGTTCCCAGTGGCAGACCCGTGATGCGCACACTCGCTTTGCTATTCGCAACTCCCTGCCGCTAGACGAGCGCGAGCACTTCGGGCAGTGCAAGACTGCTAAGGACCTCTACACCGCTGTAGTTGCCCGCTACTCCTCACCCGCTTCTGCCACGTTAGGCCGCCTCACTCTCCCCTACCTGTTCCCCGACCTAGCCTCCTTTCACACTGTCGCAGACCTCATCACCCACCTTAAGACTAGTGAGGCCCGCTTTCGCGCTGCTATGCCTGCCGAGTTTCTCACTAGCAACCCCCCCCCGCTCTGGATCACTCTCTACCACATCGTCACCCGCCTCCCTGACTCTCTGCGCGCAGTCAGGGACCACTTCCTCTCTCGCTCCCCCACTGAGCTCACTGTTGCCCTCCTCGAGAAGGAACTGCTTGCAGCCGAGGCGAGCATAGTCGCTGTAGGCACCTCTCGTGGCGACCCCCGCACCCCGTTCTTTGAGGGGTGTTCCCCTTCCCCCCTCCTCCCCTCTGTCGCCTCTGCTGCTGCTGTCGACCTTCTTGGTGCTGAGAAGGTCGGGACCGCGTCTGCTTCGAGCGGGCGCCGCAGGAACAAGGGCGGCCGGGGTGGGGGTGGCGGCGGAGGAGGTGGGGGTGGAGGCGGTGGGAGTGGAGGCGCGGCTGGGGAGACTAGTGGCGGCAGTGGGGGAGGAGACAGCGGCGGTGGGAGTGGTGGTGGAGGCGGCAGCGGAGGCGGAGGTGGTCGTGGTGGCGGCAGGGGTGGAGGTGGCCGGGGCGGCGGCGGTGGGGGTGGTGGTCGTGGAGGCGCTGGCGGAGGGCAGAGTCAGCAGCCCGCCCCGACGCTTCAGGCCGCCCGTGAGTGGTATGCGCAGCGTAGCGTTACCTGCACGTACGTCATTCGCACAGGTGACCGCAGCGGCCAGCAGTGTGGGAGGCCGCACCCCACGCAGCGCTGCTTCGCGCGCCTTAACGACGCGTGGCGCACTCAGTTTCCTGCTGCCACTGAGCTGCCGCGCTGGGCTGATCTGGAAAAGAGGGGTGTTGATATTTGGGCTTTAGACTTTGATGCTATTCTCACTGCCATGTATGCGATGTCTATTAGTGGAGAGGGTGCTCAGTACTTGCGTGTTCCGCCCGACCCGGGCATTCAGGCCAGTCCGGCTGCCGCTCTAGGTGCTAGTGCGTCTGCTCCCACAGGTCCTGGTGAGGCCGCTGCTCTAGGTGCTCGTGCGTCCGTGCCCCCTGGTACTGAGTCGACTGCAGCACTGCACACCTTCACACTGGACTCAGGTGCTTCTCGCTCCTTCTTTCGTGACCGCACTGTCCTTGAGCCACTCGCTCGGCCAGTTGCTGTCTCCCTTGCTGACCCCTCTGGGGGTCCGGTCATTGCGACCTCCTCCACTGTCCTTCCTTGTCCGGCGGTCCCGTCCGGCACGCTGTCAGGTCTTTATCTCCCCTCGTTCTCTACGAACTTGGTGGCAGGTAGTGCGCTCCAGGACGGGGGTGTTCACCAGTTCACCCCTGCCTACGAGCGCGTGACACACTGCACGTGTGCTCGGACGGGTCGCCACCTGGCTACCTTCACTCGGGAGCCGGGGTCGGACCTTTACACACTGACCACTGAGTCCCCTCAGGTAGCTGCGTCCGCGTCTGCGTCTGCGTCAGGTCAGCTGTCCGCCCCCTGCTCGTGTCGCTCTCTGGCGCATGAGACGGTCCTTTGGCACCACCGCCTTGGTCACCCGTCTGTGCAGCGCCTTCGGGCCATGCACAAGCGGGACCTTGTTGCTGGTCTTCCCAGGGTGCTCCCTCCCCTTCCCGTCTCGCCTGCTCCTCCCTGTATTCCCTGTGTCGAGGGACGGCAGCGCGCCGCTCCTCACTCCTCCTCCTTTCCCCCGACGACTGCTCCCTTGCAGACGCTCCACATGGACGTGTGGGGCCCAGCCCGCGTCCGTGGTCAGGGTCAAGAGAGGTACTTCCTGATTGTTGTTGACGACTTCTCGCGCTACACCACGGTCTTCCCCTTGCGCGCCAAGGGTGACGTCCCTGATGTCTTGATCCCTTGGATCCGCAGATCTCGTCTCCAGCTCCGTGAGCGTTTCCGCTCCGACTTCCCTGTCCTGCGTCTGCACTCTGACAGAGGTGGGGAGTTCTCCTCTGGCCTATTGGAGGCCTTCTGTCAGCAGGAGGGCATTGAGCAGTCGTACACGCTTCCGGACTCTCCACAGCAGAATGGGGTTGCTGAGCGCCGCATTGGTCTGGTCATGGAGGTCGCCCGTACCTCCTTGAGCCATGCGGCTGCCCCCCATTTTCTGTGGCCGTTTGCAGTCCGATACGCTGCACATCAGCTCAACCTCTGGCCCCGTGTCTCCTTGCCCGAGACTTCTCCGACACTGCGTTGGACGGGAGAGGCTGGCGATGCGTCGCGTTTTCGGGTCTGGGGATCCCGAGCTTTTGTCCGCGACACGTCCGCGGACAAGCTCTCCCGTCGCGCTGTCCCCTGCGTCTTCCTTGGCTTTGTCCCGGACGCCCCTGGTTGGCAGTTCTACCACCCCACCTCGCGGCGTGTCCTGGCCTCTCAGGACGTCACTTTTGACGAGTCTGTCCCCTACTACCGCCTCTTCCCCTACCGCACTGCCCCGCTCCCCCCCCGCCTCTCTTCCTCGCTCCAGGTGCTGAGGTACCAGACCCCCTCCCCCCTCAGGGTGCCGCTCCCTCAGGTGTGTCCCAGGTAGACCCGGGTGAGCCTGTCGAGGTAGCTGTTGACTCTCGTCCTGCTGCGGGTGCTGAGCCTGGGGGTGCTGCGTCTGGGGGTGCTGAGCCTGGGGGTGCTGCGTCTGGGGGTGCTGAGCCTGGGGGTGCTGCGTCTGGGGGTGCTGAGCCTGGGAGTGCTGAGTCTGGGGGTGCGGAGCCTGGGGGTGCTGAGCCTGGGGGTGCTGAGCCTGGTGGTGCGGAGCCTGGGGGTGCTGAGACTGAGCGTGCTACACCTGGAGGAGCCCTCTCCTCCCAGCAGCTGCAGGAGAGGTACCTCGAGTACTGCCGCCTCCGGAGAGGTGCTTCTGGAGCTCGTCCCGGTACTTCCCCTCCTACCCAGGAGCTCCCCCCCATTCAGCAGATCCGCGAGTGGTACACACGGCGCTGCAGTCTTTGGAGTGGTGCTCCTGGTGCTGCGGACCCTGGGGGTGGCGCTGCTGCTGGTGCTGCGGACCCGCCTGGTGGAGCTGCTGCTGGTGCTGAGGACTCGGACGTTGGAGCTGCTGCTGGAGCTGAGGACCCGGGCGGTGGCGCTGCTGTAGGTACTGAGGACTCGGACGGTGGAGCTGCTGCTGGACCTGAGGACCCGAGCGGTGGCGCTGCTGCTGCTGCTGAGGACCCGGGCGTTGGAGCTACTACTGGTGCTGAGGACCCGGCCGGTGGAGCTGCTGCTGGTGCTGTTGACCCGGCCGCTGGAGTCTCCTCTGCTTCTGAAGACGCTGCGCGGCCGCGACCGTACTTCGTACCGCTCCTTCAGCAGGTTCTTGGGCAGGCTCCTCCTCCTTGTCCTCCTCCCTCCGTAGAGTGTCCTCTGCCTGTCCAGTCGCAGTCACAGTTACCGCCTACCTCGCCTCTCCCTGCTCCCTCTCCTTACACTGGTCCCACAGGAGGTCTTACAGAGCGTCGTGAGCCTGAGTCTCGTCCTGCGTCGCCTGTTCGTCCTGCTCGCACTGGTCGTCGTGTCCGTCGTGAGCGTCCTCCTCCTGTCCCAGGCACTCACTACATGACTCTGCGTCCCTCTACTGCTCCTCAGCGTGTCCCTCTACCGTCTCCTCCCGCGTCCTCTTTGCCTACCGTTCCGGACCCTGAGTCTGACCGGTACCGTGCTGAGCACCCTACTGTCACGCGTCTCCTCGCTACTGTTGTCACTGACCCTACCTTTGAGTCCTCGACTGCGTCTGCTCTGGTCGCTGAGTTTGTTGACTTTGCTGCTGCCTGTCGTCTAGACTACGCTGCTAGCCTTGTTGCTGAGTCTGAGTCTGTCTGTCCTCCGTCCGTCGGGGGTGCGTGTGCTCTTGGCACGGACGTCCTTGAGGACAGACAAGAGGAGTTCCAGTGTCTTGCTGCTGCTTTGCCCCGTCTCGTGTCCTTGCTAGTTGCCCCTGAGGGAGACCCGGATGCACCAGACATCCCGACCCCACGCACTTACGCTGAGGCGATGGCGGGTCCCTACTCCTCTCAGTGGCAGACAGCCATGGACGCCGAGATGGCTTCCTGGAAGTCCACACGCACCTACGTCGACGAGGTTCCCCCTCCTGGGGCGAACATCGTCAGTGGCATGTGGATTTTCAGGGTGAAGCGGCCGCCGGGCTCTCCGCCTGTCTTCAAGGCGCGTTACGTGGCTCGAGGCTTCAGTCAGCGAGAGGGAGTTGACTTCTTCCAGACCTTCTCCCCCACCCCGAAGATGACTACTCTTCGGGTGCTGCTGCACATAGCCGCTCACCGCGACTACGAGCTTCATTCACTTGACTTCAGCACTGCTTTCTTGCAGGGCAGCCTGCACGAGGAGATCTGGCTGCGCCGCCCACCTGGCTTCACTGGGTCGTTTCCTCCTGGTACCCAGTGGAGGCTTCAGCGGCCGGTCTACGGTCTCCGCCAGGCTCCGCGTGAGTGGCACGACACACTGAGGACTACACTTGCGGCTCTTGGGTTCGCGCCTTCTACAGCTGACCCGTCGCTGTTCCTGCGCACCGACACTTCGCTGCCGCCGTTCTACATCCTCGTGTACGTCGACGACTTGGTCTTTGCCACTGCTGACACTGCAGGACTCGCCTACGTGAAGTCGGAGCTGCAGAGGAGACACACATGCACAGACCTGGGTGAGCTGACAAGCTATCTTGGCTTGCGGATCACCCGGGACAGAGCACGGCGCACCATCACCCTGACTCAGTCACACATGGTGCAGCAGGTTCTCCAGCGCTTTGGCTTCACGTACTCCTCGCCTCAGTCCACTCCTCTGCCTACCGGTCACTCGCTCTCAGCTCTGCCTTCGGATGAGTCCGTAGAGCCGAGTGGCCCGTATCCAGAGCTTGTGGGCTGCCTCATGTACCTGATGACCTGCACTCGACCTGACCTTGCATACCCTCTTAGCATCCTTGCACGCTATGTCGCTCCTGGCCGTCACAGGAAGGAGCACATGGATGCCGCTAAGAGGGTGTTGCGCTACTTGTGCAGTACGTCGGGCATGGGGCTTGTGCTTGGAGGGCGAGACCGAGTTGTGCTCACAGGGCACTCAGACGCTTCTTGGGCAGACGACCAGGCCACTCAGCGGTCGTCTCAGGGTTACACCTTCAGCCTTGGCTCTGGCTCAGTTTCTTGGCGCTCTACACGCTCTTCTTCTGTTCTCGGCTCCAGTTGTGAGGCTGAGATCTACGCTACAGCCATGGCTGCCCAGGAGCTACGCTGGCTGACCTACCTGCTGACTGACCTCGGAGAGCCGCCTCGTTCTCCTCCAGTACTGTACGTCGACAACAAGGCTGCCATTGCCTTGTGTGAGGAGCACAGACTGGAGCACAGAACGAAGCACATCGCCCTGCGGTACTTCCTTGCTCGAGAGCTGCAGCAGCGCGGTCAGCTTTGTATTCGCTACGTGGCCACTGAGGCCAACACTGCTGATGTGTTCACCAAGGCGCTTCAGCCTCGTGACCATCAGCGCTTCTGCACTCTACTAGGCCTTGTGCCTACTGGACCTCACTTGCTTACCTCTTGACTTTGCTTGTACTGTGATCACTGTATCTCATGCTCTGTTATAAACCTGCATGTGAACTGGTCTTGTGACCACTAGCTTGTGCTCGGAATTTGTGTGGTATCCTTGAGATCCACCCTGAGCTTGTTGTTGCCTTGCTTTGCCTTGACTGGTCTTGTGACCCCTAGGTCTCCCCCACTTTGCCTATGGGGTGTGTCAAACATTATATATGTTGGGTTTGTTAGACTACAGTGGGTTAGCCTATATGGGGTACACAATTCTAGGGTTTGCTATTTGTACTGATTTCTCTGTTAGTTCAATCATTCCAGTCTGTTCATTCTGACACCTTGGTGAATATATCAGCAGTGTTGGCCCGAGTGTCCACGTGACGGAGACGAAGCTGGCCTCGCTGCTGCAACTCTCGAGCCAAGAAGTAACGCAGAGCAATGTGCTTCGTTCTGTGCTCCAGTCTGTGCTCCTCGCACAAGGCAATGGCAGCCTTGTTGTCGACGTACAGCACTGGAGGAGAACGAGGCGGCTCTCCCAGGTCGGTCAGCAGGTAGGTGAGCCAGCGCAACTCCTGTGCAGCCATGGCTGAGAACAGAAGAAGAGCGAGTAGAACGCCAAGAAACTGAACCAGAGCCAAGGCTGAAGGTGTAACCATGTGACGACCGCTGAGTAGCCTGGTCGTCAACCCAAGAAGCGTCTGAGTGCCCAGTGAGAACAACTGGGCTCTTCCCTCCAAGCACCAGTCCCATGCCTGATGTACTGCACAAGTAGCGCAGTACCCTCTTAGCAGCAGCCATGTGCTCAGGTCGGTGCCGACCAGGAGCCACGTAGCGAGCCAGAAGGCCAAGAGGGTACGCGAGGTCAGGACGAGTGCAGGTCATCAGGTACATGAGGCAGCCAACTAGCTCTGGGTAAGGACCACTCGGCTCTACGGACTCGTCCGAAGGTGGAGCTGAGAGCGAGTGACCTGTCGCCAGAGGAGTGGCCTGTGCTGAGGACCAGATGAAGCCGAAGCGCTGAAGGACCTGCTGCACCATGTGTGACTGAGTCAGTGTGATGGTGCGGCGTGCTCTGTCCCGGGTGATCTGCAAGCCAAGGTAACTGCGCAGCTCACCCAGGTCTGTGCACGTGTGTCTCTTCTGCAGCTCGGACTTCACCAGGGCAAGAGCCTCAGTGTCAGCAGTGGCAAAGACCAAGTCGTCGACGTACACGAGGATGTAGAACGGCGGCAGCGAGGTGTCGGTGCGCAGAAACAGCGACGGGTCCGCGGTCGACGGAGCAAACCCAAGAGCCGCAAGTGTAGTCCTTAGTGTGTCGTGCCACTCACGTGGCGCCTGGCGGAGACTGTAGACTGGCCTTCGGAAGCTCCACTGGGTACCAGGAGGGAACGACCCAGTGAAGCCAGGAGGGCGGCGCAGCCAGATCTTCTCGTGCAGGCTGCCCTGCAAGAAAGCTGTGCTGAAGTCCAGAGAGTGAAGCTCGTAGTCACGCTGAGCGGCAACGTGCAGCAGTACCCGAAGAGTGGTCATCTTCGGAGTAGGGGAGAAGGTCTGGAAGAAGTCGACTCCCTCTCGCTGACTGAAGCCTCAAGCAACGTAACACGCCTTGAAGACAGGCGGAGAACCTGGCGGGCGCTTCACCCTGAAAATCCACATGCCACTGACGATGTTCGCCCCTGGAGGGGGAACATCGTCGACGTAGGTGCCTGTGGACTTCCAGGATGCCATCTCTGCGTCCATGGCTGTCCGCCACTGAGAGGAAAACTCACCCGCGATCGCCTCAGCGTAAGAGCGCGGGGTCGGGATGTCTGGTGCATCCGGGTCTCCCTCAGGGGCAAGCAGCATGGCCACGAGATGAGGCGCAGTGGCTGCAAGACACTCAAGGTCCTCCTGACTGTCCTCAAGGACGTCCGTGCCAAGAGCACACTCACCCCTGACGGACGGAGGACAGACAGACTCAGACTCAGCAACAAGACTGGCAGCGTAGTCTAGACGACAGGCAACAGCAAAGTCAACAAGCTCAGCGACCAAGGCAGACGCAGCAGCAGACTCAAACGACGGGTCAGTGATAACAGTGGCTAGCAGACGCGTGACAGTAGGGTGCTCAGCACAAAACCGGTCAGACGCAGGGTCCGGAACGGCAGGCATAGACGACGCAGGGGGAGACGGCAGAGGAATAGACTGTGGAGCAGAGGAAGGACGACGGACAACAAGGTGTGCACTGGGGACAGTCGGCTGACGTGAACGAGAAACACGACGACCAGTACGACCAGAACAAACAGGCGAGACAGGACGCGACGCAGGCTCACGATGCTCAGCAAGACTACCTGTCTGCTCAGTGTAAGGAGAGGGAGCAGGCAGCGGTGAGCCAGGTTGTAACGGAAGACCATTAGACGACGGGAGAGACGGCGGAGCAGAGTCAGGCGGCGGCAGAGACGACGGAGACGGCGGAGCGAAGAACAGTCGTGTCGGCGCAGCTGCACCAGTACCAGCAGCTCCAGCAGCTCCAGCACCTCCAGCAGCTCCAGTGCCTCCAGCAGCTCCAACACCTCCAGTAGCCCCAGGGTCTCCAGTAACTCCAGTAGCTCCAGTGCCTCCAGCAGCTCCAGCAGCTCCAGTCGCAGAACCGGTACCTCCAGTGGCAGCACCACCAGAACCAGCGTCACCAGCAGCAGCACCCCTAGAACCGGCACCTCCAGTCCCAGGGTCTCCAACCGCAGGGTCTCCCGCAGCAGCACCCCCAGAACCAGCACCTCCAGTCCCAGGGTCTCCAACCGCAGCGTCTCCCGCAGCAGCACCCCCAGAACCAGCACCTCCAGTCCCAGGGTCGCCAGCCTCAGTGTCTCCAGCAACGGCACCTCCAGGCGCAGCACCCCCAGCCCCAGCAGCTCCAGCACTCCCAGCAGCAGAGCCCCGGGCTCCAGCAGCGCGACGCTGACGGCGACCGTACCAGTCGTGCAGCTGCTGAGTGGTGAGAGGCACACGCGGACGAAGGCGGCCACTCCAAGTAGGCCGCGCACCAGCAGTCCCAGTACCCTCAAGCGTCTCACCTCCAGACTCAGCACCCCCAGACTCCGCACACACAGGCTCAGTACCCCCAGACACAGCACCCCCAGGCGCAGGACCTCCAGTCTCCTCACGCGCAGGCTCAGCACCCCCAGACTCCGCACCCCCAGACGCAGCACCTCCAGGAGCACCACCCCCAACAGCACCAGAGTCAACAGGAACCGGCTGCAGAGGCGGCGAAGAAGGTCGCGGCGGGAAACCCGGAGGGGTCTCCAAGCGTGGTGCGCGGCGGTAGGCCGCCGGGGCGTCAGCAGCAGCGTCACTCCCCTTAGGTGGGCCAGAGGTGTCGGAAGTGACCTCCAAAGGCTCAGCCAAGGGGAGGGGGTCTACCTGAGACACACCTGAAGGAGCAGGACCCTGAGGGGGGAGGGGGTCTACCGGGGGGGGACCTGGCGTAAGGAAGAGCGACGGGGGGGGAAGGGGGGCAGCGCGGTAGGGGAAGAGACGGTAGTACGGAACCGACTCGTCAAACGTGACGTCCTGAGAGGACAGAACACGGCGCGAGGTGGGGTGGTAAAACTGCCAACCAGGCGCGTCAGGGGGGAAGCCAAGGAAGACGCAGGGAACAGTACAGGAGGACAGCTTGTCCGTAGACAAGTCTCGGACAAAAGCCCGAGATCCCCAGACACGAAACGCAGACGCATCGCCAACCTGCCCCGTCCACCTCAGAGTGGGGGAGGTGTCCGGCATGGAGACCCGGGGCTGAAGGTTGATCTGATGCGCCGCGTACTGAACCGCAAACGGCCACAGAAAATGGGGAGCAGCCGCATGGATCATGGACGTGCGAGCGACATCCATGACCATGCCAATGCGGCGCTCAGCAATCCCATTTTGTTGCGGAGAGGCCGGAAGCGTGAATGTCTGGCGGATGCCCCTCGCACGACAGAAGGCTCGCAGTGGGCCGGAGGAAAACTCTCCACCCCTGTCAGAGTGCAGACGCAGAACAGGAAAGTCCGAGCCGAAACTCTTCCTGAGCTGGAGACGAGCAGCGCGGATCCAGTCGATCAACACCTCAGTGACCTCATCCTTGCGGCGCAAGGGGAAGATTGTGGTGTAACGCGAGTAGTCGTCAACCACCAGCAGGAAGTAGCGCTCGTGACCCTGTCCACGGACGCGGGCTGGGCCCCACACGTCCATGTGAAGAGTCTGCAGCGGAGCCTCTGTCGGCGGAAACTCGGAGGAGTGAGGAGCGGCGCGCTGCCGCCCCTCGACGCAGGGAACGCAGGTAGGGGCAGGCCCCGGAGGGAGGGGAGGGAGGGACCGGGGGAGACCAGAGACAAGGACACGAGAGGCCATGCCTCGAAGACGAGGCAAGGAGGGGTGACCAAGACGGTGGTGCCAGAGAAGAGTCTCGTGGGACAGGAGGCGACACGAGCAGGGGGCAGACTCAGGACCAGACCGAGACGCTGCAGCAAACACCTGACCCGACGCAGCTACCTGACCAGGAACAGCAACCGGCGGAGACTCGGTAGTCAGTGTGTACAGGCTCGACCCCGGCCGACGAGTAAACGTGGCCAAGTGTCGGCCCGTGTCAGCACACGTGCAGTGGGTCACCCGCTGACGCGCAGGAGTGAACTGGTCAACTCCAACATCCTGTAGGTCAGCACCCGCCACCAAGTTCGTAGAGAACGAGGGGAGGTAAAGACCCGACAGGGAGCCAGACGGGACCGCTGGACACGGCAGGACAGTGGAGTAGTGAGCAAGGACAGGACCCCCAGAGGGGTCTGCCAGGGAGACCGCAACCGGCCGACTGAGCGGCGTAAGAGTGGTGCGGTCTCGAAAGAAGGAGCGGGAAGCACCCGAGTCAAGGGTGAAAGTGTGCGACGCCTGAGCAGACGTGGTACCTGAGAGAGCAGACTCACCAGCACCTGGAGCAGCAGACTCACTAGCACCTAGAGCAGCAGACTCGCTAGCACCTGGAGCAGCAGACTCACTGGCACCTAGAGCAGCAGCTGCACCGCCCGGGTCGGGCGGAACACTCAGGTAACAGTCACCGTCATCACTAGTAGACATAACATACATGGCAGCAAGAATAGCATCATAGTCAAGATCAAAGATAGGAACCCCCGACCTAAGTAGCTCATGCCAGTGCTGTAGCTTAGTGGCGTCAGGGAACCGGATACGCCAGGCGTCTGTCAGGCGGCCGAAGCAGCGCTGGTCGGTGTCTGAGCCGCCACACGGCTCACCTGTGCGGTCACCAGTACGCAGAACGTAGGTACAGGGACCAGCACCCCCAGGCCGCTGACGCCCAGCGTACCACTGGTGAAGCTGCTGGGGCGGCAGGGCCGCACGAGAGCGCTGCTGCTGCTGACGCTGTCCACCACCAGAGCCTCCCCCCTGCACGGAGCCACCCCGACCAGCGCCACCGCCACCACCGCCACTGCCTCCTCCACTGCCACCGCCGCCACCGCCACCTCCTCCACTCCCACCGCCGCCGCTGCCGCTGCCTCCGCCTCCACCGCCGCCACTAGAGCCCCCACCTCCGACCCCACTCCCACCTCCACCCCCACCCCCCCGGCCGCCTCCACCACCACCACCACCACCCCCGCCAGCTCCTCCAGCACCCTTGCCTCCCTTGCCCTTGCTGTTGCGGCGCCTCCCGCCAGGGGCAGACGCAGCGCCGACCGACTCAGTGCCAAGGAGGTCGACAGCAGCAGCAGAGGCAACTGAGGGCGGAAGGGGGACAGGGGAGCACCCCTCAAAAAAAGAGGTATGGGGGTCACCTCGAGAGGCTCCCACAGCGACTATGCTCTTCTCAACTGCAAGGAGGTGCTCCTCGAGGAGGTCAACGGTAAGAGTGGTGGGGCAGAGTGCCAGGAAGTGGTCCCTGACTGAGCGAAGGGAGTCAGGGAGGCGGGTGACTAGGTAGTAGAGGGTGATATACATGGGGGGGGGGGGGGGGTTCTTGGCGCAGAACTCAGCAGGAAGCGCAGCGCGGTAGCGAGTGTCACTAGTGCGGAGGTGTGTAATGAGGTCAGCGACTGTAGCAAAGGCGGCGAGGTCAGGGAAAAGGTAGGGGAGCATGAGGCGGCTAAGGGCAGCAGAGGCAGGGGAGGAGTAGCGCGCAACGACAGCATCGAACAGGGTCTTAGCGGTCTTAAACTGAGTGAAGTGCGCACGCTCAGCAGACGGCAGGTGACTACGCACAGCAAGGCGGGCAGCAGCATCGCGGGTGTTCCAGCGCGAGCGCACAGTAGCTTCAGCATCAGCATCAGGGGGGGGAAGCACCAGACGTGAGGTCGTACAGCGAGACATCGTCTTTGCTATCACACTGCAGGAAAAGCTGCAAGTCGTCAAGCCAGACCTCAAAGTCTATCGCCCGACCCTCAGCATCGAAGGTAAGCACAGCAGGACTAGCCATGGCAGCAGGCGGAGAAGGCTAGGAGTAGCAGTAGAAGCATGCGAGCAGGAGCAGTAGCAATAGCAGTAAGGGCGCGGCTCGGCGATGCGCTTACCAGGGGCGGGCTGGAGAAGCCCACAAGCGGTGGGGCAAGGCCGAGGTGCTCAAGCAGGGTCAGGGCCGCGACAGGGCGGCAGAGCAGGGCCGGGACGGCGGCGGCGGCTGCGGCTGCGCCGAACTGCTACGGCCGCGACGAATGGCTGCGGCTGACACAGCAGTAGCAGCGGCAGCTGTCACGGCAGGTGCGGCGGCGGCTGTCACGGCAGAGGCGGCGGCAGCTGTCACGACAGTGGTGGCGGCCGTTGTAGAAGTAGCAGCGGCGGCAGCGGCTGTAACGGCAGGAGTGGCGGCGGCTGTCACGGCAGCAGCAGCGGCGGTCGTCACAGCACTAGCGACGGCGGCAATGGGCCGTGGGGAAAGCGGCAGGGGCGGCAGGTGCGGCGGCAGCTGCTGCTGAGGCAGCGGCGACGGGGCGGCAGGGCAGCTACAGCAGCCCGTGAAGAGCCGCTGAGGAGGCCGCGAAGGGGCTGCGAAGAGCCGCGGAGGGGCCACGAAGGGCCGTGAGCGAGCCGCGAAGGGCCGCGTAGGAGCCGCGAAGGGCCGCGAAGGGGCCGCGAAGGGCCGCGAAGGGGCCGCGAAGGGCCTCGAAGGGGGGCCGCGAAGGAGCCGCGGGCCGGCACGCGGCGCTACAGGAGTGGCGCGCGCCAAAAACCGTGGCGCGCGCGCTGAAAACTGTGGTGACGCGCACTGCAGCCGAGGCGCGCGCGGGCAGTAGGAAGGGCACGCAGTTAGTTGGGCCCAAAAAATATCTAGGTCATAGAGACCTCCTGCTCTAGTTACCATGTTAAGAACTAAGGCAAGGATGAATGAATTAGGTGAAGGCTAGGGTACAAGACTAGGGTATCGAGAAAGTTTGTGTACCCCCTAGTGCTAACCTCCACACAGCCTAGACAACCTAAACAAACATATATATATATATATATATATATATATATATATATATAGTTTGACAGTCGAAACTCCCATTCGCGCCTCAACATGTTATGTTAACACGCCCATGGAAACACTCAACTTGTCTAATAAGAAAAAATCTTACACTAAAATATACCATATATATGCACCTGGGTATTATGTATCTTTTCCCAATAAGAAGACACCCCCCTTTTGTTTTCTTGTATTTTTTAATCTACCCTAGGGTGTTATGTCCGGGAGAATACGATATCATTGGATGACGATGGGACCCCAATAGCATGTTCTCTTTTTGTAGTGTACAAATATTTATTTCATTTCAATGGCTCAAGGTGAGGCGTTAGTTTTCTTTTCGATCTTAGGTGATGTCAGGTCAGATTGTAACTTGAAACCTAATTGCATTCTTTCCAATTTTTATAGGAAGAAATACACTGTAGAATGTGTACATCCACATTGTCCATCTTTGCTTGACCCGATCGCAATTCTCAATCGCGTTCAGCAACACAATTGGGGCGCACTTACTTTCTACCTCGGCAAGAAAAAGTAGTTTTGAGAACTGGTTACAGCAAGGGCTACACTTCGATCAACCAATGGGTGTCCTGCTCGAGTGATCTCTAGCGTTGTCCACCTTCCCGGCATGCAATTTCTTTGACCCTAGCTTTCATAATCGTTCCTGCCGAATGCTCCCGCATCATCCTTCAGTCCCTCATCGCGTTTCGTCATATTCCCATTCGTTTGATTTCCTCACCGCATTCGCCGCTCACTTCAGTACCTTTTACCCCCCATACTACCGCGTTCCACAACCGTTCTCGCCTCGCAGCGGCGTGGCAGCGTCGAGCTCGCACTTCAAATAGCCAGCCCACAGCAGCCATGGAGCCTCGTGAAGTGCCGCTTCTGCGCCATCATAACCCCTTTTTGTGCCATCTCGCCCTCTCTGTGGTCCTATCTCGCCGTCGCTCTCTCTGCGAGACTATCTCGCCGCCCCTCATTCTGCCCAACCATCGTCGGCGAATCTGCGCCCATATCGCGCCAACCACTGCCATCCGCCATCGCTACCGCCACCTGCGCTGCGCCTCTCCGCCGCGCCTCTCCGCTGCGCCGATCGGTTTTCCGCTCCGCTCACCACGATGGGCGGCTTTCCGCCGCTGCTCGCGCTGATCGCGCTCACCCTCATTCTCGGTCAGTCCACCCGCCATGCCGCCCCGCCATTCCTTTCTGTGTGCGCGTGCCGGCGTGTTTTGTCCGTCCCTTGCCTCGTTGTCCCCACCGGCCCCAAGTCACATCACCTTCACTCTCCGCCATGCGCTCTCCGCCGCGTCATTCAACATGCATGAGAGCGCCATTCGCATTCACGCTGTGCCACACGAGCCAGGGCGATCAGGGCAGATCACGCCAACCAATTCCGCGCCCTGCTCTGCTCCCCTCTCGTCCCTGCTCGCCCTCCCCTGCAGCCAATGACGTCATCCGCGGGGCGTCAGGCCAAGACGTGTCCGCAACGCCGCCGCCGGCGGTGGCGACGGCGATCGCGGTGGGCAGCACCTTCGCGTTCAACTTCACGGCGGCGCGCTGCACCAACCTGCCCACCACCGCCTCCTCCGCCACCGTGCAGTGGACGTCCGCCGCCGCCGCCACCGCCGGTCTCCCCGCGTGCGAGAACGTCACCTTCCTGACCGGCGCTGATTGCACCGGGGTCGTCGCGTCGTCCGCCGCCAAGCCCTCAAGGTCAGCGTGCCGCCTGTGCCATGGCGTGGGGTTGGTGGGGTGGAGAGGTGTACAGTGCGGCCTGTGCTACTAGCACAGGCTCAAAACGAGGGTGTTCTTTTAAGCGCAGCGGAATGCCATAATTCGACTAGCGAGTCGGCAGTGATAAAACTGTCGCGATTTAAGCTATAATGAAATGAGACATCGTGATTAACCAGCCTTTCTTCTCTCGCGTGCTTTCTGTGCCTCCCCTCCCCTCTACAGCCCGACCACGTACACCAGCCGAGCCATTCTCCCCTATCCGTATCCACTGTCGGCTCTCTGCTTTATCGGTACGCTCCTTGTCGCCCTTCCTAGTCGCCCTCCTTGGCACTACTTGCCCAGTCAGTAAAGTGCCTGTCGTTGCATGGCCTGCACGTGCAAGCAGGGCTTCGTTCATGTCGTTTTCTAAAGTGGCACTTGCCAAGGTACGGCGCTACAAGCGCTGCAGTAAGGGCATGGCCAATTGCATAGGGTTGCAGCTTTGCCACGGAAGGTATGGCAAGTTCCCACCTCCGCCAGAGTAGCTTCACTCGCTGCCTCGTGCCCACCAGCGAGTCCTCCTCTCGCTCTCACACCGAATTGACCACTCCCTCACCTCCCCGTGCTGCTCTGCCCGCGCCCTCCCGGTTGCGCCCTGCATCACATCGCGTGGCGTCATCTCATCCCGGTTGCATCGCATCAGCGGGAGACGCTGCGTGGTGGCCGACGGAGGTGGCGGCGAGGGTGGTGGTGGCGACGGCCGTGGCAGTGGGCGCCTACAAGGTCGCCTTCGACCCCTCCTCGCGCTGCGCCACCGTGCCCGCCGCCACCGCGCCCGCTGGCGTCGCCACGCCTGTCACCGTGCAGTGGGGGAGCAGCAGCAGCTTGCCGGGGGGCGGGGCGAGTGCGCCGTGCAACGTGGTGTCGTTCTTCCCGGGCACCAACTGCGACGGCGCCGTCATGCAGCACTTCTACTCCTTCTCCAGGTCAGTACGCGTGGGTGTTTACCTTATACGCTAAACAGTTTCCGTGTGGCGGAAAGTTGCGGAATTGCACGACGAGCATTTTCCCGAAGTTGAAATGCACGTTCGCGATTTGTGCAAGCGTGGACGTGAGTGCAAATCGCGATGTCGCGAATTGCATGGTCAATATTCTAGAGTCGCGTTTGCCCGTCCACAATCTGGGCGCACCGTCCATTACCGAATTTAAATCCTTCATATCTACTGACTCCAACCTCTCGTTCCCATGTCCCCATCTCGCTTATTAGCAGCTTACTCGAGAATATTATTGTGTCGTGGTGGTAGGAGAGAGAGTAGCATTGTGTCATGTCTGTAGAGATCGGTAAACTTATAATGGAAAGCAAAAGACTTCTGAAACAAAAACCCCTAGATTCTCCCTCTAAGGCGTATATATGCTAAACGCCTGAATGGCAACTTAGGGTGGGTGATGCGTATTAGGCAAGGCAGGGCAGAGGTGGGGGACGGGGTCAGGGGGAAGAAAAGGGATGGAGGGGAGTGGTGAGAGGGAGAGGATGGCATGGGTGGGGTTGAACAGAGTGAAATTTGATGAGGATCAGAGACGTGACCAGATGCGATGGTTATGGGTAGAGGATCACGGCTCAAAGTTGTGTTTTGCCTTGTGTTCTCTTCTTCCCCCAAGCAGCAGCAACCCCACGTCCATCACACCTTCATCATACAACCCACTCACAACAGTTCGCTGCAAATTCTGTACGCCCCTTGCTGCCTTTCACCCCTTGCTGCCTTTTCACCCATTCTGTCTACCCTGCTGCCTTTTTCCGTTCAACCACTCTCGGCTCTCTGCTTTATCGGTACGCTCCTCGTCTGTGGCTGTCAGATGGTCTGATCTGATCTTGTTTGTGTGCGCGGGTGTGCAGCGTTGAACACGGCATGCAAGTACGCCACATGCCCGGCCAACTCCGTGTGTGCGGAGACAAGTGACAACAGGGGAGCCACCTGCAAGTGTGACAAGTATTATATTGGCATCAACGGCACCTGCCAAGGTACAAGGCTGTGGATTTGCACGGAATGTAGCGATGGTACTCACTTGCTCTTGCGGGGTTATGGACCCAAACTTTTTAAGCTTTTCAGTACATTGTATTGATCGTTTTCCTCTTCTTCTGGTTAAACCTCCTTGTGCAGACAAGTGCAATCTCGACTGCATGGGCAATTCCCGTTGTGAAAGGGACGCGCTTGGGGCCCCGAATTGTTTGTGCAACAAGGGATTCCAATATGCTCCTGATAGCAACACCTGCGTTGGTGAGTTGCGTGTAGCATTGTGGCAGAGACTCTTCAACACCTTGGCAGAGTTCAAACCCCAGTTCCCACAACCCGGAGCAACAAGGTGGAACGTGCTGATGTGCTTTATTCAAACTCTTCTCAGCCCAGCTTAGATTGCACTTTGTGCTTCTGCTGAGTCGATGAATGAATGATTGAACGCATTCTTGTAGTGCGTTCCCCTCATGGATCCATCCCGGTCGCACTATCCTTGCCTGCTTCCATCGCTCACCCCTTCCATGGCAGACAAATGTGATCTGGTGAATTGTGGGCCCAACGGCAAGTGCATCAAGGATGCAGATGGGAATGCCACATGTGCTTGCAACGCTGGCTTCCAGATGCCTCCCAACAGGATCACTTGCGTTGGTGAGTTGCACGTAGCAATTGCCGGAGCGAGAGAGTGAATGTTTGATGGGGCCTGGAGTGCAAGAATGTATGTGCTCTGCAAGCACTGTATCACTGCGCTCTGGTTCGTTCGCCCTACCACTTCTTTCAAATGATCTGCTCTGGTCTTCACTTCATTTCTCATGCGTTAAGCAGTTATCATTGATCATTTCCTCCTCCCACCACCTCCATTCCATTCTTTACCCACCTCACCTCTGTTCCTCTTATCCTACTGATCCACTTGCATTTCAGACAAGTGTGAGTTGGTGACATGCGGTGCCAACTCCCGGTGTAGCAAGGATGCAAGTGGGAATACAAGTTGCGAGTGCATCACCGGCTTCGAGAGGCTTCCGGGCAACGACACTTGCGTTGGTGAGTTCTTCTGGTTGAGTTGCTGCACTTGCTCAGCCATCCAGAATGGTGATTTAAGTAAAACGCAATAGTGGTGGACGTAGCATGTCACGCTGGCCTGCACCCAAGATTCGGGGACAGCGAGGTCATCTTTGCTAATCGCATGAATCTCAGGAAGATTTGACCTGCCTTTGGCTTATGAAAACGTCAGCCTGATGCACACGTTGCATACCTGAATCCAATGTTCGTGGTTGTGAAACCTTATCGTTCTTCTCTGTGTGTGTATTTTTTTCACTGCAGACAAGTGCGCTTCAGTGAATTGTCAGCCCAACAGCACGTGCAAGAGGGATGCAAACGGAATTCCAGCCTGTAGTTGCAACACCGGCTTCACACCGTCTTCTGACAACCTCACCTGCATTGGTAAGCTCATACAACTCAAGTTGATCGATTTCTTTGTCCAGACCAGTTACCAATCTGGACATGAGAATAAGGGATAGAGACATTGTTAAGTTACTGGCTACTGATGTGAATGCTCTGCAGACTCTTTCCGCCTTTGGTTTCTGAATAGTCCCCATGATGCTCACGTTGCATCGCTACCTGATTCCGTTTGTCATATACCCCGTGGTCGTCAAGCCTCCTTGTGGATCTATGCCTTCCCTCCTATCTGAATTCCTCGTTGTGGCAGACAACTGTGCTTCGGTGAAATGTGGGCCCGGCGGGACGTGCGAGAAGGGTCGGAACGGAAGCCCATTCTGCAATTGCACGATCGGCTTCAAACCGTCTTTTGACAACCTTACTTGCATTGGTGAGCTCAGTTGATCCATTTGCCCCACTTGACCAGTCATCCAGACAAAATATCAAGTGGTGGAATGTCACACTGGCATGCACTTCATTTTGGACTTGCTGGTTTCTGGTATCAGGAAATTGTGGGAATAGAATTGCACTACTCTTATGAATGCTCTGCAGGTTCTTCCTGCAGTGTCTGAAATAGTCCCCATAATGCTCACGCTGCATCACCACCTGATTCCGTTATGCCATATACCCCGTGGTCGTAAAGCCTCCTTGTGATTCTATATCATCCATTCTATCTGTAGCTTTCACCATGCCTTGCGTCAACATTCCCTTCTATCTGTCTTCCTCGTCATGACAGACAATTGTGGTGCAGTGAAGTGTGGGTACGGCGGCACGTGCAACAAGGATGGGAACGGAAACCCGTTCTGTAACTGCACAATCGGCTCCAAACCGTCTGCTGACAAGCTAACTTGCATTGGTGGGTTGGGGGAGTGCAAGGGGGTGTCTGTTGCGTTATCCACCTGTCATTGGGAGTTTGCTCGGGTTTGACCCATAAGTA